GGTAAAAACAAAAACAAAAATCGCGGATAATGCGGGGCACAAACCACCAATAATGCGGATAATGCGGGGCAATATTATATTACAAAAACCCTAAACCATAATGCGGATAATGCGGGGCAAAAATCACCAACATAAAACGTATATAAAACCCTCCCAATTAAAAAAGATCATCAAAACCATGGCTGGTTGTGGTTCTCCCTGTGGAGCCTGCAAGTTCTTGAGAAGAAAATGTGTGAGAGGGTGTATTTTTGCGCCTTATTTCTGCTATGAAGAGGGAGATACCCATTTTTCTGCCATCCACAGGGTTTTTGGCGCAAGCAATGTGTCGAAGCTTTTAGCAACCCTTCCGTTGAGCTATCGATGCGAGGCCGCAATGTCGATATCATATGCAGCTCAAGCCAGGCTTCAAGATCCCATATATGGCTGTGTTTCACATATTTTTGCTCTCCAACAGCAGGTTAATCATTTAGTACCCTTTGTATGTTCAGATTGGGTTTCTGTTCAGATTGTATGTTGAAGTAACTGATGAGTATATGCTTTTGGTTTGAACTTTTCAGGTGGTCGACTTACAAGCACAGTTAGCTTTCCTCAAGGATCAAGCAGCTCAAAGCTTTGTCAATGAATTTAGTGAATATCCCAGAAGAAAATGTCCTCTTCGAAGCTGCCATATGAGACATTTTCTATGAAGAGGACAGCTCTTTCACTCATATCCCATAAGAGCTGCCCAGGTACGTACGTTGCAATCTCCTTCACTCATAAATCAATTTAGATGCTAACTTAATATTACAATATTAATATGCTAATATGCTAGACCGTTAGATCGTTGTATATAATACATACAAGGAAAGCTGGGGTGGGCATTTATGCCAACCAACATGACTTGCCTTGGCCAGTGAATGACTTTGTAAGCAAAGAGCATGCGAGGGACGGCTAAGCTCTAGCTTTGTCCACATGGAAGTGCATGGGTCCTCTGCTCTTCTGTGTGGTGTCCAGTAGTAGACAATGGACGGCTGAGATTTGTACTATATTTTTATGATGTTAATTAAGAATTTAAAACTGTGCTGATCGTCTCACCTCTTGGACTCTTCTTCCACTTATTTAAGGTGGTTTTGGATCAACCATAACTCATTTGATCAGCCTACGTACCTACGTACCAAAACCACTAAACCCCATTTCTTAACTAATCTATTTTTTCTTGCTCTTTCTATCTGCCTTTTTGTTTTTACTTCTGTTTGTGTTTGTGTTTCTGCTGTTTTTTCACGAAGAAAAGTTTAGGAGGAGGGGAGACTACCCCATCCCTGGACGGGGACATATTTTCTGCTGTTTTTACTTGTTTAGACGATCATACTTTTTTATTTTTCGGTGTCCTACTCTGAGCTACCAAGTAACTGTCCTGCACCCAAAGTTAAAATTAACCTAATTTTCAAACCTTTGACTTTGAATGAATCTTTAATTAATATTGTTTATATATATAATGTTTAACTAATTCCATCAGATTATTTTCTTCTTACTTTGTTATCCAGGCATGTCACCTTCTCCGAGCTCCCTTCCATGGCTGTTTCTCTTCCTGTTTTTTTCAGCGCTCTTTCGTTCCTCTCAGGCTGATGTTGGCTCTGCTGCCCACTACAGCCCCCCATATTTGCGTAAACCTAAAACCCTAATGTATCTTTATTACATACAATATCTTCTGAATATCATTTTTCTGAAACTTTCATATAATTTTTCTGAATATCAAAATATATTTAGTTTACATCTTCATTTTTATTGCAGAATTTTCAAGTTGTCGATATATTTCTGTTAACATGGATATTTGATTAATACCTAAGCTTGCGTTGCATGCATGCAGCCACCGCTTGCAGGGGAAGCGACCCCTCACAGTTTCCGTCGAGCAACCTGTTTGGGTCAGCTGGCGAGGGAATATGGGACAATGGTGCGGCCTGCGGCAGGCAATATCTGGTGAGGTGCATTAGTGCGCCGGTGCTAGGAACTTGCGTTCCAGGGAAGACGATTCAGATAAGGATTGTGGATCGAGCTCTCTCTTCGGTGTCTCGGCCTTCAAGGAAGGATACTACGATGGCCCTCTCCACCACCGCCTTCGCTGCAATCGCCAACTCTTCTGCTAAGTTCGTTAACATTGAATTTCAACAGTAAGTACTGAATGTTATGAACTGTTAATCAACATATTTAAATTAATATGCAGTGTTAATCGACAAACTCATTAGATTTTCGTTTTGTATTTCTTGGTGGCTTTTAATGATCAATAATTGTGATTTAATTTTGCATTTGCAGGGTTTGAATTAGAAGACAACACATTGTTTTATCAAGGGACATGGGACCCCTTTGATATATATATATATATATATATATATATATATATTTTCCTAGAACTTTGAGGATTGAAGGTCAATTAGTTTGGTTTGATTGTATGTGTACCTTTCAGCATGGTTAGTATGTAGTTGAATTTTGCTCCTATTAAGTGTTTCTAGAGAATTGAAGAAAATGTGTTCCTAAACTTGTTATATTTTTCAACAAAAAGCGATTCGTTTTTGCCTCAGATATATACATGTGTTTATATTTAACCACTAGTATCATGATATGATAATTAAGAATGAACTAGATATAAATATAAATAAAATGGTATGTTCCCATAATTAATTAAATAAAACATATCAATAGGATAATGATATAGTACTATAGTGATGATGGAATGGAATCAATTTAAAAGGGATACTTATAAGCAATCATTTATAATGGGTAATCTTTAGTTTTGCCTAAAACCATTGAAAAATCTCTTTTGCTTCTGCGTGCAATCAATTTTTATAATGGGACAATTAAATTAAATATATCATACATAGCAACATAGGGTTTAGAACTTACTTGAATTGTGAAATTTCACAGATAACCATAGATTTTGGTGGGTCTGCAACTTGTTATGTAGGGCTTCAAATGAAAGAACAAACCTGCAAAATAGTCACACAAAATTTTAAACCTTTCTACATTGTAAGTCCAAATTTCCTAAAGCAAAGACCTAAAATTGCTTACCTGGCCTTTGCTCCTTCAACTTTGTGAAGGTTTGGGAGAGACTGACGGTTTGGAATCTGATTCCAAATATACAAGAATTGAACCCAGATGTACAAGATCTACAAGATCTACAAGATAAACTCATATGGAAGAAGAAAGAAGAAAAAGGGATTTGAAAAAAAAAATTAGAACCAGAAATAACGTAGGGAGAAGAAGAGAGGGATAGGGAAAAAAAAAAAAGATGTAGAAGAAAAGAGAGAGAGTGTCGGCACCGCACAGGGAAGAGAGAAAAGAAGAACAAGAAAAAAGAGAAAGAGAAAGAGAAGAAAGAAAAAGAAAAGAAAGAAAAAGAGAAAGAAAGAGAGAGACTGTCGGCGGCACAGGGAGAAGAGAAAAGAAGAAGAAAATGTTGACGTGAGTCTCCTAATTAATCAAGGAGAATTATTTACTTGATTAATTAAGGGATTTACTTTCCCATTCCATGTAGTTGACAAATCTGTGTATAATTAGGAGATACTCTCCTAATTCCTGTTTGAATCTTATTCCTTGTAAAGCACTATGTAAACCCATATATATACCTCCTTATGGAGAAGAATAAAATATCTGAACATATTGAAAACCCGTATTCATATTTTAGCATGGTATCAGAGCAATCGATCCTAGGTTGTCTCTAAATCCTCGTATTGAATTTCTCGAAACCCGAATCCCTCTTATCAAATTCCTTGAAACACGAACCCGTATCCTCGTATCCTGAATCCTGAATCCTGAATCCTGAATCCCGAAACCCTGAATCCTGAATCCCGAAACCCTAAACACAACCCGAAGCCCTAAACACACTCTGAATCCTGAATCCTGAATCCTGAATCCTGAATCCCGAAACCCTAAACACAACCCCGAAACCCTAACCATTTTCCTTCCGCTGCCATGGATATCGTTTCCCAAACCACCGAATCCACTTCCTTATCCCCCCAAATTGTTACTATTCAGAGTGACAACGCTCCGTTTCCTACCGGCATCACCTTGACAGAGACATGCAGACCATCTTTCAGGAGATTGATCATCGCACCCCGAATCGCATGCACTGTGACGCCGACATCACTGAGCGCCAGACTGAACTGGATCGTCTTCGTGTTCACCTTTTCCTTGCCGGGCTCGATCCTCAGTTTGATCAAGTCCGGGGGGAGATCCTGCGCAAAGACCCCAAATTGGATCTTGACCAAACTTTTGCATATGTACGTCGCGAAGCTCAACAACGACTGATCATGGCCAGTACTCCAGACACTGCGGTTCTGGCCACTCAACGTCCGAGGGGCCCTCCACCCTCTACCGGTGGCGCTTCTCAGACTCAGACCACAAGCTCTCGTCCGGAAACCAAATGCACTCATTGTGGTGGGAGCAAACATAATCGTGCTCGCTGTTATGCACTAATTGGGTACCCGGATTGGTGGGACCACTCCAAAGCTCCTCGCAAGAATAGGAGCACCTCCCTTCACACATCTTCCGTCACGGATCCTGTCCGTCCTGCTGCTCCACCTGCACCGGCTCCTGCCTCTGCCTCTGTAGCCACATCAGGTACCCAAGGTTATGTTTTGCATAGTTCCTCAAAGAAACACACATGGGTCATTGACACCGGAGCCACTGATCACATGACCTTTGATCCGGGACAAATTATTTCTCATACACCGCCTTCTCAATCGGTGGTGTCTAATGCCAATGGTACCCCCTCCCCGGTGATTGGGGAGGGTTCCCTCTCTCTCTCTGACTCCCTCACTTTGGATTCTGTGTTGATTGTTCCATCCTTACATCATAATCTCTTGTCTGTTGCCCAAATTACTACGGCTTTGAATTGCACTGTAACCTTTTGGCCTACTCATTGTGTTTTTCAGGACATTCTCAGCAGCAAGACGATTGGTTGTGGTACTAGGAGGGGCAAACTCTATTATTTGGACCTGGCATCTGACAGTGAAGCCAGCCTCAGTCAAGCTTACAAAATTGGGGGGACGAGTGTTGAGAAGAAAACTTCCGAAGTATGGTTATGGCATCGCCGTCTTGGACATGCTTCGTTTGGATATTTACAGAAGCTATTTCCTTCATTATTTTCAGATTTAGAGAGTTCTAGTTTTAAGTGTGACATTTGTGAACTGGCCAAGAGCCATCGTGTTCCCTTTCCCTTAAGTTCCAATAAAAGTTTAATTCCTTTTTCCCTTGTTCATTCTGATGTTTGGGGCCCTTCTAAAATTACCACTCCCGGGGGAGCTAGATGGTTTGTCACGTTCATTGATGATTGCACACGCATGACCTGGGTTTCCCTTCTCAAAACTAAAGGGGAAGTCAGTTCCAAGTTTCAACAGTTTTATCACATGGTGGAGACACAATTTCATACCCGAATTCAGGTTCTTCGGTCTGACAATGGCGGGGAATTTCTCAACCATGATCTTAATGAGTTCTTCCAAGCTCACGGTATCATCCATCAACGCTCATGCCCGTCCACTCCTCAACAGAATGGTGTGGCTGAACGAAAGAATCGACACTTACTGGAAGTAGTTCGTGCATCCCTCTTTGGTGCAAATATGCCTCGGTCTTTTTGGGGCGAAGCCGTCCTCTCTGCGGCTTACCTTATCAATCGGATTCCCTCTAGTATCCTCCAATTCCGAACCCCCCTTCAAACACTTCAACACCATAGCCAAATACCTCCCACCCAAAACCTGGAACCCCGCGTTTTTGGTTATGTGGTGTGGGGCGAAGCCGTCCTTTCTGCGGCTTACCTTATCAATCGGATTCCCTCTAGTATCCTCCAATTCCGAACCCCCCTTCAAACACTCCAACACCATAGCCAAATACCTCCCTCCCAAAACCTGGAACCCCGCATATTTGGTTGTGTGGTCTTTGTTCACTTACATGATCACCAACGGCAAATTAGATCCCCGTGCCGACAAGTGTGTGTTCATTGGGTATGCACCTCATCAGAAAGGTTACCGGTGTTATCATCCGTCGAGTCAGAAAGTATATACTTCCATGGATGTTGTGTTCCGGGAACAGGAGAGCTATTTTTTGGATGCCCCGGAGGATCCTTATCATATTTCTGAATTTTTTACTCCAGCCATTTTTCCAGATTCGTTCCAGACACAGAACGACCGGTCGTCGATCTATAGCGACCGGTCGCCCGACGAAAACGACCGGTCGCCAGATGAACACGACCGGTCGCGAACGACTCTGCCTGAAAGCGACCGGTCGCCCTCCTCTCACGACCGGTCGCCCCGCACGTCGCGACGCACGATCCCGACTCTGCCTGAAAACGACCGGTTGCCTGACCCTCACGACCGGTCGCTCCCCCCAGTTTTTGATGAAATTGTTCCGCTTCAGTCCGATCCCAACCATCCCACTCAGGAG